AGGGAAACAAACCGGCCAGAGCAGGTCAGGGGCTCCGCTCCCAGCAGGGCTGGCCCTGGCTCTCTGACCACAGCATCTGTGAGATGCCAGCTGAGCCCTTACCCCTGCCGGGCTCCTCCTGGGCAAGGAGGAGCTTCTTGCGTGCATCCTCACAAGCTCGCCCATCTAGAATATCAAAGACCGTGTCCCCGTGGGCGAGCAGCTCCACCTGATAAAAGGGGGCTGCTGTTGCACACTGCCTGCCCTGGTGGGCCATGCCCTGGCACCGCGAGCACACAGCCTGCTGGAGCCACAGGCCAGCACCTGCAATAAAGGTGCCAGGACAGGTACGGGGACAGTGACTGCAAATGCACAGTCAGCAGGCCTTACCATGGAGAGGCCCAGGACCTGAGCCACGTTCTCTGAGATGTAGACCAGCTTGCCGTTGGCTGAGAGCACAAGCAGAAACCCTGGCAGCAGGGAGAGCAGCTCCGTGTTGAGGGCCACTCCCGCAGCAGGAGCCGAGTCCGCAGGGTTGTCATGGTGTGAAGCGCTGTCTTGATGGGGCAGGGGCAGCGCCCCATGCAGAGCCAAGCTAGCATGGGGTATGGCTGTGCTGTGGGTACCTGGAGGGAACAGCTGAGCCCCCCGCAGCTGGAGGCACACCAGAGCCATGGTATGGAGATAGGAGAGCCGCTCCTTCTCCTGCGCAGAGATGGGCAGCAGGGAGCGCAGTGCTTGCAGCTCCACGTTGATTTGGTCCCGGCGAGCCTTGGAGGCACTCTTGGTTGACCTGCAAAGCCAGCCATCTGGGAAGACACGTGCTGGGGCGGGGGGAGACGGACAGCATTCCCCACCCGCCACTATGGGAAGAATTGCAAGCTCAGGGGCACGGAGTGGAGATGCTCCCCTGGAGAGGCTCAGCGCCTGTGCCAGCTGCCTCTAAGGGGAAGGGGGCACGAGCGATACAACCTCCCCACTAAATCCCGCAAGGATGAAAACTGCATCTGGTGCCAGAATGTAAGCCCCAGCCCATCGCATCTGCCTTTACTCTCCAACCACCTGAAATCCCCCTGCCCCTCCCAAGTTCCCACACCTCCTCCCCATGCACCAGCTGGCAGCCCCCCCATCCCAAACTGGTGCCAGCCCCTTGCAAGGGCCATTGGGCACTATGCAAGTTGGCTGAGGCTGTCCCCAGCTAGGAGGCCATCACAGCCCTGTAAGCGGGAGGCCATAGGGAGCTCACCTGAATGGCTTGGAGGCACCAGGCGCCTGCTTGCCCCTCCTGGGCAGGCAGCTCATCTCTGCCTGCAGTGGCCTGTGGCAGTGGCTGCAGAAGATGGTCATGGTGCCGGCACTGGGATGCCTGAAGCTGGCAGCACACTGCTGCCTCCTTTGCCTCTGGCTGCGTCTGAACCTGCTGACCCCACTGCTCCCAGCCTCCTTTTGTACCCTCCTGGGGCACAGGGGCCAAGCTGCTCATGGAGAGAGTTACCTCTAGTGACGCAACTCCAAACAGCTCAGGGCTATTTTTAGCAAGTAGGCTGCTAAAAATAGTCCTTGCAGCCGGCTGCAATCTGAGAGGGGAAGCAATAAAAGGAAGCCAGCATCTTTAAAGCAAACCTGGCTACTCAGGAGGGGGTGATGATGAAGGTAGCAGGGATTCCCTCGTGGGGTGCATATCTGCCCAGCTCCTGTCCCACAGTTCTTGCCAGCCCAGCAGAAGGTCCATGATGGACTGAAGGCCTGTGGCTAGTCCACCCACCTGGCAGCTGCTCTCCAGCATCACTGATGACTGAGCTGGGTGCTGGGAGAGGGAGCTGGTATGCCAGGAAAATATACTGGAGCCAGCTGTACCAAGGTGGTGAGCAGTGCCCCATCCCTGAATCTGCAGCAAGGTCCTGGCAGAGGGAAGTCAGGGCCACAACACCCCTGAACCTGAAGGAACCCCTGAAAGGGAGTGGGGTACCTGTGACCCTCTCCCTGGTGACCCTAATTTTTTTTTTTCCCCCCAGAGAAGCCTTCTCCCCACCAAAGGTTTGCTCTCCTAGAGGCAGCTGGCATGGGGTGCTTTAGGGCCTCTTGTCTCCACTTGAAGTCCCAGAGGTTGTGATTCTCACCGGAGAAGACCCAGTGACAACCATTCATGGACAGAGCCAGGAGCACCTTGGGGAGCCTCTGTGCTTCGTACTGTGCTACCTAGTACAGTGAGCCTGGGTGGTCTGCGGGTGTTTCCTGGTGCCTGGCCCCCTACAAGGAGAGTAAGCTTAGTGCTTCAGTGCTGGGGAAGGGGATGCCATGGCAAAACAACCTCCACCATTTCATGGCATGGCTTGAGAGAGAGCCTGTGGCTGTGGCAAGGTGGTTGAACAGGGGAGCCGGAATTGCTGGACAACACATCAGCCTCATAGGTAACCTGCAGGTGCCAAGGACGACAAAGGGGGAGGCCAGGCTGGGGCTCCTGAGCCAGATGTGCTGTCAGCACTCCCTGGCTCTCTTCAGGCTGCAGTGCTGCCATTGATGTTCATCACCCACCACAGCAAGGTGCTGCCAGTACATGAAGAACAAGCTCTTAATCGCAATTGTGGCACCTTCTGTTCTCTTGCCATGAGATTTTCACTGCTCTCGTGCCACTCCAGGCTGCTCCGTTGCACCCGCCCTGGCCGCCTTCCCAGGCCAAGGAGCCCAGGCACCTCTGCAACCTCATGCTGCTGGATGAGCAGCACTTGATCTACATGCCAGCCCTCAGGACAGAGGAGATGGCCTGGGTCCTCTGTCACCTGTTCCCGGTGCACAGCCACCACCACCTCTCAGCTGCCCTGTGACTTTCCATCCCAGGGAACACCCTGAGCTTTCCCTGCCTTAGCTCGGCTACAGTTGCTGCCAGAGCTCCTTTTCACACCAGACACCCCACCTCCACAGGAAGGGGCTCAGGCACAGCACTCTGCACTGCCCAGGAAGGCTGTCCCAGACATTCCTCCACCTCCCTCCCTGGGTCAGGGAGCTGTGGGGCACCCACCTTCCTGAGAATGCAGCCCAGGAGACATGCACCATCTTCCTCCCTGCCCTCTCACAGGGCAGCACAGCCCCAGGCAGGAGGCAGGCACACCAGGGCAGTGGCTCCTCTTCCCCCACCCCAGCCACAAGCCCCACAGATGCCATAAGCCACTGATGGCCTACAGCCGTAGGGGAAAGCACCTGGTTCAAGTTTCTCCCCTCCCACACCTTTTCTCCCCCAGTTCACCTGCTAGGACACACCGAGCAGCAGAAACTATGTCTGCCTCAGCATTTATAAAACTCCCACCAGTTGCTGTTTTACAATGGGAGCTGGGCAGATGGTCCAGCTGGGCCCAGGCCCCCACATCAGGCTCAGCCCTGGGCTGGGGCCTGCCATCCGGTGCCAGGAAGCTGGTCGGTGCTGGCAGATGCAGGCATGGAAGTCCCTGCTCTCTCGAGGCAGCACAGGAACAGTTCATAGCCCGAGGCCAATCCTGGGGCTGTGGCTGGTAGTAGGAGTTGATTCAGGCCCTTGGAAAGTGTCCGGGGACCAGGTCAGCACAGTTGCAGTTCCACAGGCAAGGGGAAGGAAAGCAGGAGATGCCGGAGCCATCAGCAAGGAGGGGTGTTCACAGTTGTGCTGCTGGGGTGAGCAGATTTCTTCCCCAGCAGCCTGCTCTGCCTGCACACTTGTGCTGCCCAAAGCGTGACAAGGGCAGAGGGAGGCCTGGCTAGGGCAAGACAAACGATGCTCACAGGTTTCTTGCTCAAAAAGGCTAAAAACTCATGCAGGCAGTGGAGCAAGAGGTCAGTGTGTGAGGAGGGGCAAGGGCAGGGTGCTAGAGGCATGAGCCGTCATCAGCCCTGGGAGGAGACGATGGGGCGGCTGATGGTGCTGTTTGTTGTCATGGCCGAGAGCTCCCATCTGTAACACACCGATGGGATACACTAAGAGAAAGCATGAACACAGTGCCCAGGGCTGGAGCAGCTCCACTGCACATCAGCCTCAGCTGCGGTCTCCAGACCAGCCTCCCCCAAAGCTGCAGGCAGCCCTCAGCCAGGGCTGGAGCACCCCAAGGACAGGGAGCACCCATGGGGTGACCTCCCAGCAAGGCACGCAGTACCTGATGTCGTGGGGAAGGCAGGACTGGTCCAGGCTGTACTGAATCACTGCTAGCTTACACAGCGTCTTTAGACTGGGGCCTGTGGAAAGAGAACAGTTAACCACAGCAGTCCTCCTCTGGGCACTAGGCGGGGGCATCCAGGCATCATGCAATCAGTGCCATAAGAAACAAGGCAGAGCACCCCAGCTGCCCCTCCGAGGGGCAAGGTAGGGTGCACACCAGGGACAGGCTAGAGTGGTTTTCTGTGCTCCCACAAGAAGTCTGCATGAAGGAGTGTATGAAGAGCCATGAGCCTAGCTCAGGCCTGCAAGCACAGCTGCATCTCTGGCTGGTCTGCTTTAAGCCATGTACACCAGCCAGAGACAGCTGCCTGGCTCCAAGAGGTGGGCACCTGGAGCCACATAGGACACCTCACTGCGGGGCCTGCTCACAGAGCACCTTGTGGTGAGAGGGGCAAGCGGGGTGGGGAGTGCTCACGTACTGAAGTCGAGGATGTAGAGATCAGAGTGATCCATCAGGTCAAATTCATCACCCATTCCCTCCTCTGGAGATGGGCTGCAGAAGCCAAGCAAAGCATGTCAGTCAGTACCAAAACTATTGTACACTAGTTAGGGTCCCTTGGGCTCCCCAGGGGCTGAGCAAGTCCAGGACTGTTCCTGGCCTGCCTGTCCCATGCAGGGACCCTCTGATCCCTCCCATCCCTCTGCTTCCTGCAGTGCCACCCAAAGCCATGCCTTTCCCCAGCTCCTCAAGAGCTGGCAGAGCTGCACAGCGCCAGGGCTGCCTGGCTGGCCCAGCTCCAGCAGGTGGGCAGAACCTCACACCACTTCCTCTGCAATCCATAGCAGGGAATGGGGGAGCTGCCTCCTCCTCACACATGACCACAGTGACTCCAGCTGTGAGCTTCCTTCCCCCGCCCCGCTGCTTTGCTGCACCTCCAAGCTCAGGTCCCACTCTACAGGGAACATCTGGTTTCACACTCCTCCTTCCCCAGGTACCTGCCAAACCACTCTCCAACAACCGATCAACTCTGAGGCCACCCTCAGAACTGTGGCACCCACCCTCAGGGCAGGAGGAGGGTGCTGACAAACAGCTGCCTCCAGAGCTGAGGCTTGTTTCAGGACTCTATTTGCTCAGCAATTTCAGCAGATCTGACCCTCCAAAGAGGTCCACTCAGAGAGGCAAAGCTGAGCCCCAGGACAAGGCTGAGGAAGACTCTTGAGTAGGCTGGAGAAAGGATGTTACAGCGGCTCCTGAAGGCACACATCAAACACAAGCATCTGTCCAGCTGTTTGTGTAATAAACAGGCCCCAAGGGCTGTCCCACAGCAGGGAGGCCCAGACAGGCTGGCATCACCTGGAGAACCCAGTGCACTGTTGAAGACTAACCAGTTTCACAGCAATGCTGTATCATGGAAGGCTGCCCTAGTAACATGCTAGGAAATACATGTAAATCAAACTGTCTGGGCAGCATGACACAGCCCACGCTGTATCTTTTTACAGACCCCAGGCCAGCTTTACTTCATGGCCAAGGGGAGGCATGCAATGGGAAGTACAAGGACTTGGGAAAACATCACATGGGACAGGCATATGATCTAGGAAGAATCAGACACCACACAACAGCACAGTACAAAGTCCAAAAAGCTGTACTGGTGTCCCCAGTGAGGTAGGTAAGAAGCTGGATACCCAAGAGGACTTTTTGCAAGGCTCTCTAGTTGTGCTGCAGGGCTGCAAATCATGGGAGCCATGACCCATCTCCAGAGATGGTGGCAGACTCAGCAAGTAGCTAGTGGCCATCGAAATTTTCTGTAACCTGGAAAAGCAACAAAAGGAGCCATATGCTTCAGGCAACACTGCTGTGCTCTCCCTGCCCGCCTCACCGCTAGGTTCCCAGGGCTACATTTGCAGACTGCCACATGCCATATGCCGTATGTTATTCATGAGTCATGCCACGGAAACCTGTGAGCTAGATTCTCCTGTCTGTAAGCTCTCAAGAGCACTAATGCTGCTGTCCCAGAGGCAGCATGTGCTGTACCACACTGCCCCAGCATGATAAGCAGAGGTGTTTTCTCTGAGGACAATATGGAAGGTGCTTTGCAGAAGTTCAGCTTTTTCTACAGAGGAGTGAAGGCAACAGCAGAGAGTAAGCACCTGAAGCAAATGCTGAGATCTTCACCTGGCTTAGTGGCAGCTCCTTCCCTCTTTGTCCACAACAGCCATACATACCTGCTGCATTAGCACAAACTCTCCAGCAAAACCCCACAGGTTAGCAACCTGCAGCCAGGAAAACATTCTATTTTATTAGCTTGCATTCCTCTGACTAGGCCAGCAGCTGGACTGCTGTTGGGTTCTGGTGCATGAGCTGAAATTGCATGCCAAACACAACAGCACAAGGTTTGAAAGAGATTCTGCCCAGCCACGTGCTGTTCATTGCTCCAATTCTCTCGTGGTTAAGATCTACTGTAATTATTTCAGCACAGCCACTGAGATATAAGAGAAGCATTGAGAAAGCATCTAGGAAACCTCTGCATGGCAGTGCAAGCACAGACATGTTTCAGTCTGACTGCAGGAATCACTGTGGGCTCCAGCCACAGCTCCCTGCTTGTGCCAAAATGGGGAGAGCATTTCAGGAGACTGTAACAGAGCATGTGTCAGGCGCTGATCAGTGCAGCAGTCATTTTAGGCCAATCCCAATTTGCTGATACTCCTGTCTGATGTTGGTCCTGGCATGCTAGTGAGGAGCTATGGCTTCAGGCATTTCTAGGGATCAGACAGCCTCACCCATGGTTCCCCACCTCTGTGGTCTTGATGAAAGCACTCCCACAGCTGATGGTTGTTTGGAGAATTTGAAAGAAAGGAAAGGTGTTTTAAAGTCCTGCTTTGGTTTGTGACAACGCAATTTAGCACATCCTCATTGCTTAGCTGTGACCTCATGCAGTGACTTCTTGCCCCAGTGTCACTTGCTTCCACACCTATGATGCGCCAAGCCTCACATCTCACAGGACATGAGACACTACTTGCCCCCGCCCCCGGTTCCCATAACCCCAGCACAAACTGCAGGGCACAGCTCACTGCTGGCAGAGAAGACCTGTTGCTGATGGGTGCCATCTGCCCAGATACAGGCAAGAGCCCCTTTAAGTCCACCCTTGTGTGCTCACCACACTACAATCTAATCTCACATCCACGTCACAGGAAACCCTACGCCATCCCTTATCTTTCAAAGGAAAGCCAGCAGGCACTACGTCTGTGGTTTTAATCAACAAACTGCAAGTAGCTGGGGAAAGCCTGGAGTTCAAGACCAGGAGAACCACAACTCCCAGTCAGTAGGGTGCAGGGCACCCCTTTGCCAGCCACAGCCCAGCAAAACTGCTTGCCCCAGCTGCAGAGCAACTCATTGTTGGCAAATGCTCTTGGGCCCTGCACCAAATTCCCAGTGAGAGCCCCTGCTCCCTCACCAGAGCCAGGCATTTCTAAGCCTTGTCAGGGAAAACACAGCCTCAAGCCAAACCTAGATGGGCATCTGTTCAGCTCAACTCTGTTTTATAGCATTCCCTCTCCCCTTTGTTCTCCCTTGTGGACAGTCTCTGCATGCTGAAGTGCTGGTGGGTTTGGGAAGAAACCAGACCCGGGCCACAACTGTGACACAGCTAACAGGAGCACTGAGCTTAGCACTACGTGACTTTCTGGTCACTTAAATGGGCCACAAGTGACAGGACTGCTGCTGGGCCAAAGACCAGGCTCTGGACAGGACTACAAAAGAAACTAAGCATTTGGATGCCACAGGAGCAGGCAACCTGCAGAAGTGCCTCTTGATCAGTCTACAGTGTACCTGAACCCTGCAAGGGAAGGCAGGACACAAAGGAGTTTTGCCTGCCCATTAAGGCAGGACACAAAGGAGTTTTGCCTGCCTGTTTCCCAGCGCTGCTGCCCAGCAAGCCGAGCCTGCCGGCGCATCCTCCACGGAGCCCTGCTGGGTCCCCTGCGCTGTGCGCTCCCCCTCCCCCTTCCCAGGCAGGGGAGCACAGGTCAGGACGCAGACCACAGGGAGTTCTCTATTACAGCGACTTCCTGGAAAATTTCTTATCTTGCCAGGCAGCCCCAGAATACCCCTGATAACTGTTACAGGAAGCGAGCACAGTCCCCTCTCTGTCCCTCCACCACACCACCCCCCTCCCCCGGCCTGCAAGACCCTCCCTCCAGTCCAAGCAGTCCACATTCCTGGCTGCTAGCAGCTCTTCCTATCCCAAACTGATGAACTAGTTCACATTGGAGTTGAGTGTAGATTAAGGAACAAGTTGAGTACTGAAGTAATTCAGTGGAGAAGACAAGGTGCTGCTGCACTGCCTGTCAGAGGTGGACCAAACTCCAAAAAGCTGGTGTCAAATTTGCTGTGATTTGCTAGCATTTCCTAAGAGTTCAGAGTTCAGCTGCTGCTGTAACACAGATCCATACAGCAGCATCTGAGAGCATCCAAAACTGCCATCAAGACCTACTAAGCCTTCTCCTGTACAGAGCAGCATGCAGTATCTGTTGAGGAGACTGGATAAACTCAGCACCTTTGCATACCTCACTTGCACTGAGCACTTCCTCACACACACAAACATCCTACAACTAAGCACATCCTCCCCCCCCAGCACTCCTGGGGCCCGAAGGCCCTTCACTCCATCACACACTGGTATGGCCAGTCCATCAGCAGATGCCCTGCCTTGTCCCTCTGTCCCAACCTGTCTTCAGAAGTATCCCCCAAAAGCCGCTGCCATGGTCCTTGAGAAAGACCCAAAGCTTTCCAAACCATGTGGAGGGCCGAAAGCATTTTCAGATGCCTCTGCAAGGTAAATGCTGGCAAACAGGCCTGTGCTCCCGAGCTGCAATTTGTCATTCCAGACAGCATAGAGCATGTCCTGGTGATGGGCCACTTCCTTTTAGCAGCTGTTAAGGCTCTTGGCCACATCCAGCTGCCCTGCACCCTGACAGTATTACTTCCAGTTCCAGACCTTAACACAAGGTCCCTTTTGTGAATGGAAACTTTGCTAAGGAACCCTGCACAGAAGGGAAAGTTACCTTGTCATGGGTATGGGCTCCTCAAACGGCTCCCAGCTGAGCAGACATCCCACTACAGCTTGGCAGACACCACACTTGCCAATGAAAGAAACAAACTCTGGTGGGAGAAGCAGGGCAGCATGTAGGGAAGGATAAGTCTAAGGTCTGCTACAGCACAGCAGACTAGGATACTTATCCTTCTGATGGCAGGATCACCTCCCTGCTCCCCACCATCTCTTTCACAGAGAGCTTGACTACCGCACAACCCCTCCTAAACAGCGTGTTACATACTTCTGCCTCTACCTGTATAAGAAGGCTTGTCACAAGGTTATTTACAAACTTGTATGACATCTTCAATCTTCCCCTTGCCTTTTTCTAGAGGAGTCCTGATCTAGACGATTTATTCCACCTGTAAGGTAGATGGGCAGTTGCCATGTGCCTCTAATATGCATCTGACTGCAGCATAGGGCAGAGCATGGAGACACACTGTGCTGAAGGGAAGGCAAACCATCTCACAGAGCCACCCCACACAACTCACCTGGTGCCTCCAAAGAGAATTATTTTATCTCCCACTCTGCAGCAGCACTGCCGGCGTCGAGGACACGGACCTTTTCCCTTGGGCTCAATCTTCCTCCAAGAAAGAGAAACTAAGAGGCGAAAAAAGAGTGCACCAGCTTGTCACAAAAGCCTGGCCAAGACCCAGGTATAAGCAGGTTATGCATTTAAACAGATCACAGCAAAACTGGAGGCCCACTGCCACACAGACACCAACTAGCCAACATCCACCCTCTCTGTTGACCTTCTCTTCTTGCTAGTGGCAAAATGATGCACTTAGAATCCTAGAATTGGTTAGGTTGGAAAAGACCTTTAAGATCATCCAGTCCAACTGTTAACCTAACCCTGCCATCCCACCACTAAACCATGTCCCTAAGCACCTCGTCTACCCATCTTTTAAATACCTCCAGGGATGGGGACTCAAACCCCTCCCTGAGCAGCCCATTCCAGTGCTTGACAACCCTTTCGGTGAAAAAATTTTCCCTAATGTCTAACCTAAACCTGCCCTTGTGCAAATTCAGATCATTTCCCCTCGTCATATCACCCGTTACCCGGGAGAAGAGACCAACACCCACCTCACTACACCCTCCTTTCAGGCAGTTGTAGAGGGCAATAAGGTCTCCCCTCAGCCTCCTCTTCTCCAGACTAAACAACCCCAGTTCCCTCAGCCGTTCCTCGTATGACTTGTGCTCCAGACCCCTCACCAGCTTTGTGGCTCTCCTCTGGACATGTTCTAGCAATGCAACGTCTTTCTCGAGTGAGGGGCCCACAACTGACACAGTATTCAAGGTGCGGCCCTCACCAGTGCCGAGTACAGGGGCACGATCACTTCTGTGAGGTTGTTACTGAAGCATTGCTTAGATGCCAGGCGTGGCCCTGGAGCTCTGCCTGCTGAGATGGGAGTTGCAGGTCAAGGCCCTTCATTTGCAAAGTCTGAGCACCAGGACCCACGGGCTGCCACAGCAGCAGGTCAGACATCACAGGGAGCTGTACAGGGCAGAGCTCCAGGAGCAGGCAAGCAGGCAGCCTCCCTTCCTCAGCACCCTGCTACAGTCCAGATCTGGAGGAAGACCCAGGAACCAGCTCCATCTGCTGGCAGCCACCATGAATGCAGAGCTTCCTCGCAGAGTGGAGGCTGCTGGGACAACCTGATTCTGGGAGCATGGGGAACTGAACCAGGTAGAGAAGACAGCAGCTTTTGCCCTCGCTGCTCTCTGTGGCAAGGATGCTGGGGGGTCATTAATCACTAATGCACAGCACTGAAACCTGCAGGTTGCACTAGCTCATAGATCAGCTTGGGGAACAGCAAGTCGGCTGCAACTTTACTATACAAAGCAATTAGCAAACAAAATCAGTTTAATGGACTGTGAAAAGTGCCCGAGGACCCCAAAACAGCTCACAGTTGACTGATATTCAGTTTATCAGCTCAAGAACCACCCCTTCTGCTGCACAGTTTGACCTGGTACCAAGAGAATGTGGTATGGTGATGCTGCAGCTCAAGTTGAGTGGTTTCCCCAGCTACAGTCTCTCCCCATATCTTCTTTTCTGCCAACACTTCTGCATATTTAAGAACAAGACAAAGTTTTGCCACCACCCTTTGATTAGCTGTGGTTTTCAACAATACTTCCTTTTCCACCTTCTAACTGAGATTTGGAGACAGTCTGAGGAAAAACAGTAGTCCCAAACACAGTAGCAAGTTCCTGTCAACACTGTCAGAAGAGCCATTTCCCCCCAAGCAGGCTCCTAGCCCTGGGAGAGAATGCTTATCTGAGCACTCATACACTTGAGGGCCTTGAGCACTATCACTGCAACAAGTTAAAAGCATAAATACCTGGATTGAATTTCCAGAGGTCGTGGAAGTGTCTGTTCAGGCGTGCGTTGTAGCCACCAAATACATATAGCTCCCCATTGTAGCTGACTGTGGGGAGTAAGCACAGACATCAGTGTGCCACCCAAGGTAGAGCCCAGCAGGTCCCTGTCCCAACATCAAACACAAAGCAAAGTGGCGCTGGTTATCCACCTTCACTTACATCACCTTCATGTGCAGGACTAAGCGCAAGGCTTTTTGGTGAGCAGCAGCCTTCCGCAGAAGCCAGGCTCTGTGCACCCCTTGCTAACCCACATCTCCACCCAGCAGACCAGACACCCCTTCTGAGGCAGGCAAGAATTTCCTTCCACTGTCCTCGTCTCTCAGCAGACCCACACTCACATGCTGAATGGCTCCGACGGCCTTCAGGGAGCACTGGAGTTGGAGGGGAGTCCAGCCAGGAATTGGTTTCTGTATCAAATACTTTGATGCAGTTACAGTAGATCTCATTGTTGGAGTGAAATGGCCCAAAACGATCGGCTCTGCCACCAAATACGTACATCTTTGTTCCGATGATGGTAGCTGAATGGAAGTCTCTCCAGCGAGCTGGTGTACCCTGCAGGGGCAGAGTAAAACAGAACAAGAGAAAGAATGCAGGTTACTCAGGGAGACAACACGTTTTGATGGGGAAGTTGAGGTGGCTGCCTTCTCCTGGAGAACTTCCCCTCTTGCAGATGCCAACTACACCAGACAGAAGCTGCAAGACAAGTGTGGGCAGCTACCTCAGAGAATAGCAGATACGAGACTTTCTCCACAAACCAGAGCAAAAAGCAGACACTGACCTTGGCAGAGATTAAGGTCCACATCATGTTTGTGGTGTCCAATTTATGGATATCATTTGAAAAGCAGTCGGCCTGGAAGACAGCAGGGCAGTCTGGTCACAAAGGGACTGAGAAGCCTAGTCACATCTGGCTCCAGGAAGGGCACTGTCCCTGGAGCATCCTTTTGGAGTCAGTACTTCCTAAGAGACATGGTGCTTGCTCCAAATTGTCAGGGTAGACAGCACACTTATCACTTAACAAGAGGGAGGCAAAGCCCATTTATTCTCAAAGGTGTCCTGTCTCTCCCTGCAGCTTTCCCATTTATTTGGTGCTCGCTTCCTCCCGCTGAGGCTGTCCTGCACACAATACGTAAGTAGAACTTTGCCTCCACTCCATGCAGCAACAGAAGAAAGGGACACTAACAGGACAGCTGAACTGGCTCTGCTAAGGCCATCTGATGAGAGGTAGAAGCTAAGATTACTTCTAGGAAGCTAAACATACAGGAGCAAATACACTCAGCATTCTGAAGATCCCACAGAACTTGTCTGCAGCTAGCTGCCTAGAAGAGCCTGCATTCACATGATCAGCACAGATGGCTGCTCCTCCAGGCAGGGGAGATAGCAGCGAGACAGCTACAGGCTTGTTTGGTTTTTGTTAAAAACAAGCCACATTTGAACTGCTCCTGCTTGCTGTAGTCAAGATCATGGATCTGGCATGCTATTGTCCTCAGAAGAGGAGGAATAACCCTGGGACTGCCATAACCGAGCCCCAGCTTTCCTTCAAATAAACAGATGTGACTTCGCACAGCTTTTCTGGAGCCTGGTGATAGGCTGAAATTATATTTACCCACTTCTTAAGATCAGAGCATAAGGGTTTGCTCAAAGGAGCATTAGGCACACTGACAGCTAGTGCAGGATGACCTTCGGCTCACAATATTCTTAATGGGAGGGCAGGCAAATGTTTGCTGGAGGGGATCAGCAAAATGTGAGAGCAGGTACAGAACAGAGGGAACACGCACCAGATTAGGACAAAACCTTGCAGCAACACTGCAGACATTGGAAAGTGATTTTCCTGGCTCATTTCTCAGCCAAATGAAAATAAATGTAGATCGATATGTATTTATTAGAAATGTTATCTATTTATCTATCTCAATTTGGCTGAGAAATGAGCCAGGAAGAAATTATACATAAGAATACTTATAGTTTTGCCTCTACATATCTATATATTTTGGGGAAGAAAAAAAAAATCCACCATTTTTTTAGGCCTACTTTCCCAACCATCTTCTTTGCAAAACAATAAGCATAACCTGGGTAATTAATGCCGTAACTTTGCTGACAGTTATAAAATGAAAGCAACTATGGATATAAATATGCCCCTGTATCCTGCCTCTACCCATGTCCTGGATAGAAGCACCCTCTTTCCCAAGGGATTGCCAAACAACAGTTACAGAAACTACTCACCAGCTGTTCATAGCCTCCAAAGATAAACATGCTCTTTGCCAGGACACACGCTGAATGCCCATCTCTCGCTCCTGGGACCATTCCAGACACCTTTGGTGTGAACCACTTGTGTGTGTCTGAAATAAAATAGGAGGCAATGATAAGAAAATACAGTAGATGTTGGGATGGAATAGACTTTACTACTGTTCTTCATTTCTTAGACAGAAATTCTCTCTTTCACACACAGTACCTGCTTCTCTGGAGATGCCGCAAGCTTCTTCAGGCAGGGCTACCTGCCTGAGCCTCCACAGAGGGGCACAGTGACAGAGGTCTTGGCTCTTGGGCATGGCCACTGACTTTGCCCAACCTGACAAACAGCTTATGTTTTAAGTGTGAGTAGTACAGCACTGCTTGAGCAATGTTATTTTTATTGAATCTCTTGCAAAGCTTACTTGTGGGTCACTTACCAACTCTGCATTTACAGTTTCAATGACAATGAAGCAGTGACGCTAAGTGACTCAACTGACCTCACAGTGGGGAGATGCTGACTGACTGAGGAAAAACAGCTCTCAAATCCAGGCAGAAGTCACTTAACTACAAGCTCACCACGCTGACAGAGCTACTGTGCATGTCCCCACCTCCACAGTGCAGCTCTCCCTATCTTATCTGCTCCTCTTGTTACATTCCCATCCCCTCTTCAAGGGGAGCATCCCTCACTCTCCACCCTTCACCGTTCCCTTTGCACTGCTCCCCGTGAGCCTGCACCAGCCAGATTTGGCCCCTTAGCCTGCATGGTCCAGAGACTGGCTTGATTTAGGGGAGGACTTTAAATCCAGCCAGAGCTGTTCTCCATGCCAGGGCAACATGGAGCCAAGCCAGCAACTCACTGCCAAGCACAAATAGGCACCTGTCCCAAGAGCCCAGAGAGGCACAGATAAGCCTCGAGGCAGCAGGAGACATTTCCCTCTGCCCTCCCTAACTGCTACAAGCTGCTAAGAGCAGTGCTTATTTCAGGAAGTGGTAACATTGGAGCCAAAGCAACGTTCTCTATGAGGAGAACTTCTCTGAACTTGGCCTGAAGCCACAGCTATCCACCTAGGCTCCAGCTGGAACCACACAAAGGGTCTTGCAAGGTCAACAGAATCCCTGGACAGCCTCTAGTGAGAAAGCTGCAGTGGCTATCAAGTTCCTTTCCTTCATGGAACTGCTTCCAAGCCCAATCACATGGTAGCAGCAAGAGCTCACCCAAGCGCAACACATCAAATTAGAGATGGAAAAGACCTTGACTTGTTATCTGCTTGGCACCCCAGGGAACTAAATTGCACTCAGCCAGGACTTTTTTCAGCCTGATGCAAGTCCTACAGTGGAACTTGCACCACAGACATGGGACTGCCCCTGCCAGCCTCACTTTTCAGGACAGGCACAGCATGTACAGACAGCTGCAGAGGGTTTGGACCAGGACTGAAGTCTGGCCTTTCCATTAATTTTCACTCAATGGTAAAGTACTGGAGTTGGCAGGGAGACCAGGCAGCTCCCACTACTAGGTCTCTGCGTAGGCAGAGGTTTACTGGTGGCTTCCCAGCAGCATGTGTCAGGGGAAGTGGGAAACCCAGCTCCAAGCTGCAAGAGATTTCCTGGCGAAGAAGGGAACACATGACCAAGCACCAGAGCAAGCAGTTTCCTTGCAAGTCCAGCAAGCATGTCAGTGTATAGATGGACTTGCCTCCAGAATCCAGATGTAATCCCTTCCTTTTCTGACACTCCCATCCACCCAGTTCCTGATGGTGCCTGTTCTCTCTGGGTGCTCCAGCAGCACTATGGAGAAGCCCACAAAAAGGCTCAAGGAGTTTATCTTTTTTTCAGGTTTATCTAACTTGACTCATTCCTTTCCTTATTTTGCCATCTGGTCCCTGACTACTTCTGTGTTTTATTCTTCACTCTCCATGTTTTCAGAAAGAAGGACCACCCTGGAGAGGAACCACAATCCTCAAGAGCTCTAGCCCCTTCTCGCTGCAACCTTCAGCCACAGTTAAGGAATAATACATCACACAGAGAGAATGCTTCCGTTGCAGTTACTATCAGAGAGAGCACACAAAGCTGATGACAGAAAAATTAAAACCAGTTTGACTATTAGACAAGCTCAGTAATCTCTGTTCAAAGGCTTTTACAGAGAGTCGAGTGTGCAGACACACTGTTTGCACCATTTCCTCCAGACTGTCACTTTGTAGAGAGACTGAGGGACAGGAAAAGAAGTTGGGAAGCAGTGTCATGGGGCATAGAGAAGGTCTCATCAAGAGCAGTTGTGACAAGGAAGAATAAGAAGCTGGAACTTACTGACATCAAAGGCATAGAGCACGTTGCAGGCTCCCTCAGTGTCATTGCGACCACCCCATATGTAGACGGTGTCATCTATGAGCACTGCCGAGTGCCCATACCTCATGTAGGGCACCTCTCTCACATGGTCTCGGCTGTTTGTCCACACTGGAGGCAGCTTGATCCAGCGCAGAGACACTGAAAGCACAAGTTTGAGCCCATGTCAAATGCTAAGCCCTCGACACATCCTCACATGTCACAACCCATTGTGCTTCCCTCCCACCCCCCACCCATTACAAGGTGCAGAAGTAGTCTCGTAAGCAAGACAAAGCTGTGTCTGATCCCGAGTAGTATCCGGTTAAGGAATATGGAGGTACAGTTTTCCACAGGCCCCCATGAGTGAGACGATTCAAAGTACTGGAGGACCAGAGGATTCTGGACAGAAATAAGCTCTGTTCTGCACCAATTACAATGAAGAGGTTTCCACGTTGGCTCATCTTAGACTATGAGTGAAGGTACAGCACGTACACACCAAAAAAAAAAAAAATATATATATATATAGGGAAAGGAAAAAGAAAGAGTGCAGAGGTGATAATGAATGCAGGCACTACTTTAGGCTAGTGACATTTCTAAATAGATTCAAAGCTAGAAGAATGGGCAGCACAGGAATAATTCACTGCAGCAACAGGCAAGGGAACAGACCCAAAGACATCATTTGGACTTGCAGTAGTACAGTTTAAGTAAAGCAACACAGCACCTTTGTAGGAACAGGGTTTGTTTGCTTTTGTTTAGTTTTCTAAGCTTTAGAGGAGACAGCTGTCTGTCTCCTTTACCCCCATCCATACCCGAGTTCTCCTGCTAACTTGTGTTACTAGTAGGAGTTCCTTGTGATTACAGGTTCTCCTTCCTGGCAGCCTGTAAGTCACGTTCAGCACTAGCCAGAGCAGTCAACAAGTATTACAGGGTTTAATGACAGTGCAAGAGTCATGGAGAGTGTTACATGGCAATTGCGTAATAGCACCTAGACACACACCCCCACCACCACACACACATACAGGGCTCCAGTTTTGTTTCAACATGGAGATAACACAAAATATAGCAGAAAAAAGTCTGCAGTTCCCCTGAAATACTAACATAGGGAGAGGGTCAGGCGTCTTAAAAGGTAAGCATCTACCCCAGAGGCAGAAAGAGCATTGAGGAAGCACAGCCAAAGCTAGAGTCAAGCTAGACGGGATGTTTCCTACCTAAAACACAGTCTTTCTCTTTGGAAGACTGAAAGAGATCATTCAAAGTCTACTATCGTGGCTTTCGCACTGGAACCTGGCAACGCTAACTGAGAAAGGGCTTGGGAAGCCAGTGACACCTCCCATGTGGTGGCTGCAGCATCATGACACCTTAATGTTTGGGAGTGGTAGGAAGGGAAGACAAATGCAAGAGCATTCCTTTAGTCATGGTAATTGTGCTTCCACCATAAGAGTGGTGCTTACTGGCACATTTTACAAGCTACAAGGTTCGACTGTCTTGAGTGCGGGAGCCCAGTCTTTCTGGATAGCGATGAATGTCTTTGTTCACAAGATCCTGATCTATACTCCCTTCTACACTGTGAGTAGGTCACCTTGGCAGCCCTGTGTAACCAATGCCTTTATTCACTACTGCACGAGAGTCTTCTCTGCAGTCAGATTTAGAGGAGTGGATTCACTGCATCTTACGGACAAACTAGTTTTATCTACATGCCACATGCATGTTAAGAGAGCGTTCAGCATGCTGTCCAGTCTGAAAAAAATGGTCATTGGTTCTCTGCTCTTGGCTGTGTTCAGCTGGGCCCATCCAAGCACCCGTGCAGTTTTTCAACCACCTGCTTAATTATACAGAAATACTTCATGGACCAGCTCAGTAACCTGTTCAAGGAGCACTGAATCAAGAAATACAGCCTCTCCCAGCACAGTCATGGCTCCTAACTCACTCGTGGCTCCTGACAGATACACAAATGGTTCCAGTTCCAGATGCTGTTCTGAGCCACGTTGTGAATCTGCTGCCAAAACGGGAAGGCCTCCATCCTAGCCACAGGTCTCTACTGGCTCCATCATGCTGGCAGCGGTTGTCAGCTGCCCCCACAGGGAAACAGCTCAGGGGTCTAAACCTGGAGGCTGGACTGAGTGTGCTGGCTCCCACCCTATCCCTTCCAAACTAGGGGCAGCTGAGTGTGGTCACACTGCAAACAAGGTGGGCGACCTTAGCCAGCTAAACATCACCTCTTCACACCTAGTTGAGTTAGTGTTCACAGAGAACAAGAACTACAGCCCCGCCCTGCCCCGCATACTGCCCCTGAAGCTGAAAATACAGGGTGGCACAAGGGAAGAGGCTCCCATCTACACTGATAACTTTTTTGGAAATTAGAGTCAGACAGCACGTTACAGCATGTAACATGTTAAGCATCAGTAGGCAAGAAAGCTAATAACCCAGCCCAGCAAGCCACTCCTTCATACATCACAAGGACACATTTACCTGCATTAAAAACATGGACGTCAATCTGCCGCAGAGTCTCATAGTCTTCTCCAGAACAATACCCGCCAAAGGAATAGACCTTGTGCCCGACGGCCACGGCCGCGTGGTTCACCCTCCGTGGCCCACCTTCCAAGTGCACTGCCCACCGTAGCATTCTTCCTTGCAAGCCAGACAGTCTTCAGGGCCCCCAGTGCCACAGCCGCATGCTTCCTGGGCCACCACAATGTCACCTGGCTCTGTAACAGAGACAGAATGCTAAAGTCATAGAATGTTTTGGGTTGGAAGGGACCCCTAGAGGTCATCTAGTCCAACCCCCCCTGCAGTGAGCAGGGACACCACTAACTAGATCAGGTTGCTCAGAGCCCCGTCCAACCTGGCCTTGAGTGTTTCCAGGGATGAGGCCTCCACTACCTCTCTGAGCAACCTGTTCCAGTGTTTCACCACCCTCATTGTAAAGAATTTCTTCCTTATATCTAGTCTAAACCTACCCTGTTTTAGTTTAAAACCATTACCCCTTGTCCTGTCACAGCTGACCCTACTAAAAAGATTTTCCCCATCTTTCCTATAGGCCCCCTTGAAGTACTGAAAGGCTGCAATTGGGTGTCCCTGGTCAGTCTTCTCCAGGCTGAACAAGCCCAACTATCTCAGCCTGCCCTCATAAGAGAGGTGCTCATAACACAGTCCATCTTGCAGGTCTTCCTATCTTCCTTGAATGCCAGCTACAAAGGTCACAGTGCTGTATCCTCACTCATCTGCCTCCCAGCTGGAGACTGTTTTACTCTCCCCTTGGGAAGGAGACACAAGGCAGGTACCGTAACTTGAGCAAGGCTTGGAAGAGCAAGCAGAGATGCCCTTGCATACCAAAAAAGCTCAGGGTAGCTGTACAGGCAGCCCAAGCCAAGCACCTTCAGTGAAGGCAGCAGAGTGCTGCGTGCTCAGCCGTGCCCTGGTCATGTACACATCATGTGCATGCCAGAACAATTTGTCCACATGAAAACACACAGCGAGAGCCAATTGTAAAGGTGAAAAGAATAGGGCCAGAGGGAAGAGAGTGTGCTCTTCGGGTCAGTCATGAGAAACAGCATAGGAAAATATTTTAAAGAACCCACCCAGCAAAAAACCCCCAAAGAACCACCCGCACATAAAGCAGCCAACTCCCCAGTATGAGGGTGGACTAGCATTTGGACTCATTGATTTGAACACTAAGGTCCAGCTTAATTTAAGTGCAAGAGAACACCCCCCACCCCCAGTCTGGTTAGAAAGCTCTTTGCTAATGATCAGAATAAGGCCCTTTTCTCCTGCAGCAAATCCAGGCATAACTATGAAAATTTTGTAACACCATATCTCAGTTAAGAAACTGATATGCTTCACGCTTCAAACAGATGGCTTTGATCAGCTCTGAGAGAAATCACTGCAGCGGATTTTTGCAGAGATTCTCCTTTGGATCTAAGAATCTGGAGCACAGTCCTGCCCGGGACTGTGTCCCTGCTTCTGAAAAAGTGGGTCAGTTCAATTCTTTATCAGTTTTCCCTCAGCTGAAAAACAGCCATTAAAAGAGACGTCAGTGTTTCAGATAGCCTAAAGAAAATTCTCTTTTTTCTTGCTTGGTTCTAGCTTCTTGGAACATGCAGTCAGCGTGCTCCCGCCCCACAGCCAGTTTTAGCATTTGCAGAATGCAAAAAAGTTTGTAGATGCCTTAGAACAAGGAATAAAATTCCTACACATTTTCTCTGTCCCTTTGCTTTTTGGAAAGTAGTGAGTTTTCACAAGGAGAACTTTCCTCCTGTTGAAAGTTTCTGAAGTAGCTGGAGAGCAGCAAGAAGGGGCTGCTCTGCTCCAACTGGCCTCCCCCGGCCCTTCAGCCCAGCAGAACCACTGCTCGCAACCAGGCACCTATACGGCCCACCAGCAGCCTGATCACCACAACATCTGGCCCACCTGCATGCTCCCATTTTATCCCCACCTGAGGAAAGAGTCAGAGATGCCACCCAACAGGCAGAGCTCAGGCTTCCAGCTCCAGCCATGCATACTACAGGCATACGAAAGCATCCAGAAATGAGTGGCCTCATTCCAGAACTCCTAAAACTCAGCAAAATTTTAGTAATATCTTTTTAAATCTCAAGTTATTCCCAAAAATAGAGACTGGCAGCCAGAGCATGCTCTGTACCTGAAAGTTAGAGCAACAGGACATATGCAAAGTCCTAACGGAGAGCATCCTGCAGTCTTACTTGTAAGAGATGAGAGCAGACCAAGGAGCCCCTCCTACAAAGCTGCTTCTTCCTGTGGCAACCACCATAACCTAAATTGCAGTCAGCAACCCAGAAAGTCACATCAAGCTTTTCTCCAGCAGAGCTGCTCCAGAAGGGCCCAGAAATAGTCCCTCTCTGCTATGGGTCATGCTTCACTGTATGTTTAGGACCATCCCAAATTCAGACCTAGCAGGTTTGTTTTTTGTTTTTTTAAATTACTATTTCTTTTTTTAAGCCAGGCAGCAGCTCTTGAATAAGTCCTCCGCAAAGCTACAGAATAAATGAGTTTCCATGGAGACCACCAAAGTCACCTTTCAGGCTATTTTGAAGGCTTCACACATCTAAATCTGTTTCCTGCATCAGTCATGAGTTATCACTGAAAAACCTAGCCAATATTTTCCTCAAAATCGCTTTTTGGTTAAGAGATTCTGTAAGAGACTCCTCAAGGAGCTTAACTGGACTTTATCACCAGTGTCAATATCTTCAACACCCTTCAGACTGAGTTGGATCCTGGAAGATCAAGAGGATGAATCTTACTGTCAAGTTCTCCACTTGGTTCCTCCTGGGAGAGAGAAGCACAGCAGCCTGGCATGGCAGGCAGGCAGGCATCATACCAAGCCGCTTACCTTTTTTGCCAGAAAGGCTGGGAAAGAAAGGCTCTTCTTCCTTGGGAGTTCAGTCAAGCTGTGTGCCAGAGTCACGCTGCTGCCAAGAGCGGGATGCTGGTCCTTTCACTCCAACAGGAGCTGGCTACCCTGCGTGAACAGCTTCATAATTAAGATTAGTCATAGGAACACAGGAAACCAAGGCTTCATGTCCCAAGAAGTTGATCTGGTCAACCGAGAGGCAGCAGCTCAAGGTCCAGCTGGTGACACTGTAGGAAACACCTTGACATTGTAGCAACCATGTTGCAATGTTGTTTCCTACAATTACAGGGAAAGGTTTTTTCCAGAGATCAACCGCTGTCCCAGGAGGCAGGCGGTTGTATGCAGGCCCCCGGGGGGTGGTGGGAGTAATGGGGTTGAAGTTGGTGGCACCTCGCCTTGGCTTGGGCTGGGGATAACCCTTTGGAGCCAACACAAAGCTTAGCCAGCACAGCCCCTTGCTGCCACGCATCAGGCCCAGGGCATGCAGAAACACTCCTTTGCTTTATGAAAACAATCAGAAGCATGATGCAATCCTTACAGGATCATAGATTAAAAGGCAAAGGAAAACATAGGATTTAACAAGCTGCCAGGTTTTTCCAAACTCAAGCGCTCTTCTCTACACTGTAATAAAAACATCCACCCAGACTCCATCTTCCTCTTCTGGCATGGGCCACAACCCTGCCCCAAAGCTGTCACAACACCTTCCCGCCCTCACCAAGCACTTGTTCTCCTCTTTGCGGTCACGCATGGGTCCCCCCGCCCTCCTCCCTGCACAGCCCTATCTCCTGAGGACCCCCCTCTCCACCCCATGCTTTCTACACCTGGCTCCAGCCTCTCTCCTCTCCTGCCTTTTTTTGAAATTGTTTCATTAGAGCTGTCTTCTGTCCCAAAGTAAATTTGTCTCCTGCAATTCCCCTCTCTGCACTATCTGCAAATGAGTTAAACACACTTTTTGAGAAAAAGTTATTTTCTGTCCTACAACTATGCATGCTCTTAAGTTCTGTTTTGGGTTTTGACTTCCAATGATAATTTATATTATATAAACGAGGACACAAATACACCACTTTCCAACCTCATTCCTATGAGGACTTCTTAGTAGGTGGCATTATTACACTTGACATTAGGCAGCGTGCCTTAGATTTCTTTAAAGATCACACAGGGCACAGCTGGGGGAGAGGGGAACAGTAAAATTTATATGAAACAATTTGCTAACAATTTCCCCCAGCTGTAAATATTAAGTTACGCAAAATACATTCTGCAATTTCTCATTTAGGACACCAGCACCAGGGTCGTAGGCTATAAAACACAGAAATATTGATAAGACAGAGGCAAATTGTACCAGAGAGCACTGGCTGCAGGAAGGCGGTACATGTCCCAGCTCAGGCAAACCAGGTACTTTTTCACTCTGCACCACAAACCAAAGGGACAGTGACACTAACATTTGTCATCGATGGGAGGAAGGGCTTTCACACCACAGAAAAACTAAGCTTGAATCATTTAAATCACAGAAGCTATTGCTACTGCCAAAAGCCAGCAGGGTAAGAGGAGGGTTGCCTTCTGCATGGATTCACGCAGACACCGAGCTAAGAGTGTATCCCTTTTCTGGATCCTGCTGAGCCACCCCTCTCCTCCTCAGAGCTGCAACTCTTTTAGGGCAGCCTCTGCAGTTCAGTAGAAGCTGGTTGAAGGTCTGAGAATCTCCTTTGACTGACTCAGCATGCCCAGCTGGAATTGTGCCCCAACAGCCCCAGAAGCAGTGACCATAAAGCTCCATCAAAACAAGCACACTTTTCTTATACAGTGAGGGAAGAGATTTTCTAGATGAAACAAAACCAAAGAAAGCGCCCTCCCCCATAATCTGTCAGCTTGGCGTACACTTGCTCATCTTAGATCAGGAGGCTCTGGCTGCCTCTCTTCCCCCAGTCTCAGCTGGGAGAAGCGAGGCACTGAGCATCCTGACCATGGCCACGCACATACCTGGGGTCTCCTTCGCAGAAAGGCACATGTGCTTCTGTTCAAGCCACCACTTGCTGTCACTGATGCATGTGTCAGCTCCCCACTTCACCTCTCCAAGAACTAATTAGATTATTTCATTTAGCACTCACACAGGCAGTGATCGTGCAATCTTCACAACTCCCCATTTTCCTGGTCTGGCATAATCTATCCAGAGTTACAGTCAAGCACAGAGAAATTTGGGTTGAAACCCTGGTAGGTTTTGTCATTAATTGTCAAGAATAAGAATGTTTCTAAAAATCAAGTTACACTTCACCTACTGTTGAAGTACCCAATGCTGATGATGCTGGAAATTAAGTGAGCACAGCAATGAGCCGTTCCTGTGCCACTAAGCACAGGGAGGCTAAAATTAAAAAGTGCTCAGAATAACCTGCTGTGGTCCCACAGAAATGCCTGAAGCCCTGCATTGACTGGGTGCAGCACCACAAGCCCAGGTGCACCCTACCAGAGTAAGTGGCACAACAACAGTCATGGGGTGACTGCAGACTGGTTCTGCTACTGCAGTCAGGTGTGACAACTGACCACAGGTGGAAGATAAATAGCAATGGATGTCCTTCAACACCTCCCTTGTTCTTCTTCAGCGCTGACATCCAGCAAAGGGAGCACAGCAATTCACCCAGGGCATTTCACTGCTAAGCAACAGATTTCAAGTCAGCTCTGCATTCTTCAAATGCAGCACCTATAGACAACACTCACAAATCTCTGGCTGTGCTGTTGTCTGAAGATACACATAATGCCTGAAACAACCTTCATCCTAACTGCCTCAGCTTACACCTAACAAGAGTCTACCAGTGTAGCATATAGCCATCCGCAATCACCAGGAAAATCACTCAATTTCTCACTAGCCTACCTTCCAAAACTGTTGTGGTGACTTGAGGAAGTGGCATAGATGAAAAGAAAAAAAAAAAAGTAATCATGGTTTTTACAGTCAGATTTTTCAGCTGTTTGTTCTATTTGTTTTAGACTTTCTGTTTTCTATCCCTACAATTAACTATGAAAACATTTAATTTGAAATAGAAAGCTACTGACCATCTCCAAGTACAGCAGCCACATGATAATCTTAGAACAAAAAAAATATATCCTTGGATCCACTTCTTTGTGCAAATGGAGTTCATGGGGCTCCCTCATTCCTCTATGCACCCCAAAAGAAACCTGGAGCCATGAAAGCTGCTCGGCTTAGCCTTGCTGCTGTCAATACCCACAGCAAGGGGGAGAAAACCCAAAAGAAAGCAGGCTTGCACTGTCACCCCCAGAATTAGAGCACCACCCCAAGCAGAGCAGCCTACTGCCCCTGCAAAGTCGCTCCGGAGAGCAAATCCTACCGTGTGGCTGCCTCTGCCCTGTCTTCCAAAAGATGCCAGCCACAAGGTTTAGTAACACTTAAAATAGCCCAGCCAGCTCACAGCAGTCCATATAGACAGTTCTATTTCAAGCACATCCAACTTACTGTTAGAGATAGCACGAGAACAACCCGCTTTCTTCACTCATACTTTGACAGTTATCTGATGCTTTGGCTATTTATGCTAAGGCAGTCTGAAATTGCAAGCTTGCACATTCAGCTGCTCAGATACTCACAACACAATTCCAGCACCAGTAAACTAGACGGTGCTAGAACAGCACCCAAGCTCGTTAACTGAGACCGATCTGGAAGCTTGTGTTTGACATGGGAACCACAGACCACACTGCTTGGGCAGAAATTTATTCCAGCGTCCCACCCTCCAGACAGCAGCACCGCCTCCTTATTTTTGCCCGCTGCTGACTTAGTTTTGCCCAAAGCCCAGCTAAGATTCTGCACCTACTGAGCTGGCTTCTCCCCTTCCTCTCCTTGCCCCCCAAACCTCACTGCTGCTTCTCTACAGAGTGCGCCTAAGCTTCAGAGATATTCCTTGACCTTCTCTCCCCCAACAAGAATTTGTCTGGGCCTCTGGCTACTGTCAAGCTGTTTCGGCCATAACAAGGGCAGCCCTTGGGAGGGAGCAGGCCCAGGAAAGCCAAGGTGACCACTAACGTGGCATTTCTTGCTTTACGCAAAGCAGAGGCGCTTTCTTCCTCCAGACCTGCTGTCACTCTGACGCCAGGCCGCAGGCAGAGCATCCTGCCGGGCTCAGCGGGCGCCCAGGCGCAGCCAGGGCAGGCTCGCAGCCTTTGCTGGTGCCAGTCTCTGCTCTGCTCATGGTGCACGGGGCTGGGGAGGACCAGGCGTGAAGCCCCAAGCCCATCAACGTGGCCAAGCCCGGGTGAGCACGTAAATGGGCTGAAATCGCGCAAGCCCGCGGGGATGGCGAGGGAAGGGATGGCGAGGGAAGG